TAAAAAAACACGACATCAAATTCCCCACCGCTCACAGCTGTAACATGTGTTTATTACTCAAACAGCAGATGAACTGAGACTCAGTGGAAGATAGTGATCTTCAAATACATTTTTGACAACACACACACACACACAAAACATGAGGCAGTGATTTAGGGTTTGATAAGATGCCCTGTTCTGATTGGGTCAGTGACAAGCAAAAATATGTGAAAACTAAACCCTTTGTCTTTCACCTTTTTCTTTGTAAAGATGCCAAACAGGCACAAGTTCAGAGTTTGGAAGCACCTCGCTTTGAAGAGCCACTCAGAGACTGTACTGTCTGTGCAGGAAGTGATGCTGCCTTTAAAGGTGTTATCACAGGGAGCCAACCGATGAGCATTTCCTGGCTATACAATGGTAAGTGACTGATTACATGTAGGAGATGTTGTACTTTATTCAAGTCCAGGTTATTGTAACTTTTACAGTAATCTTACTATATAAATTACAGTTATTTACTGTAATCTGGAATGCAGGAATTTACTGTATTTTTATACAACATTAGTACAAACACTGGAAACGCACAAAATACTGCGTGATCAGCCTTTTGAATTGATTGCTGATTGATAATTATTGACTTTATATACTGCTGTTCTGTGGAAAGTATTGAGCCACCCCTCGAAATAGGTGCAGTGATTTAGTGAAACATGCAAACATACAGTATACAGTATGTAAGGGGAAAGTTTTCACTTTTATTCTTTAACACAGCATTCTTGTTATAGCTTTAAGCAGTCTTCAGGAATAGTTTTCCGGGCTTCCTGAAGGACATTCAAAGCTCTTCTTTGGATGTTGGCTGCCTTTTGTTCTGTTCTCTGTTAAGATGATCCCACACTGCTACAATAATGTTGAGGTCCAGGCTCTGGGGAGACTGATAGACTGATGATCTATGATGAATAGTGTTCCATTGTGTGTTTTCTATTCAGATATGCTTTCACACAGCAAACCTTGGGGCCCTGTGTGGGCCATCATGGGCATGTTTGCTTGGCAGTGCGTTTGGGATCATTGTCACGCCAAAAAATGAAGTTGTCACCAATCAGGTGCATTCTAGACAATATTGCATGATGGACCAAAATCTGATGGTACATTTCTGCATACATTATTCCATCAATTTTGACAGGATTTTCACCACTGCTGGCTGAAATGCAGCCACAGCAGAGCCTCAACCATGCTGTAGAC